TATTTTGAGTTTTGTTCCATATTTTTCTCCCACTCTACCCAGAACCTTCAAATGTGATCCCTTTCAGAGCTGTCTGTAGTGATAGCCGGGCACTATCTAGTTCTTCTGGTCTCAGGGTCATGGAGGCTGCAGTTTGCATGTTCCAGTAGTCTTTGGGGTAACTGTTTCCATGCATCTTTGATTTTCTTCACTTTCTGCTTCCTCAGGGAGAGACCAGTCATTACACCTTAGATGGTTACTTGCAAGTTTTTAAGTCCTCAGTCACTCCTCACCAAAGTAGGATGTAGAACATAGTCTTTGTGGACTATGTTGTGCCAGGTTGACCTTGATGTGCTCTGAGACTTTGGTCATGAGCTTCCAGGCTCTTGTCCACATTTTATATTGCAGCAGTAATAAACTTTGGTGCTCTCCACCCATACTAAACCACTTATTGTATGCTATTTTTCATTTACCGTATTCCTTTGGCAGCTAATTTCTTTCCCTTGCCCTACTTTGCCTAAATACCTTTCACTTATCCTTTAAGACTAGGCTCAGTAGTTAACTCCCACCCCCAATACCTTTCTGCCCAAAGTGGAGTAGGACACCTTCTCTAATTCTCCCTTGTTACAGCTCATCTTGTTTTTACCACATTATTTCATAATTTTCTGTATTTGTGTCCATAGAGTCCCTGGATAGTATAAAAAGTTATCATGTCACCTGCTAACCTGAAGGTTAGTGATTCAAGTCTACCCTAGAGGCACTTTGGAAGAAAAGCTTGGCAATCTACTTCCAAAATAATCAGCCATTGAAAACCCTATGGAGCACAGGTTTATTCTGACACACATGGGGTCACCATGAGTTGGAGGCACCTTGGCAGCAATTGGTATGGTTATTTGTGTCCATGGTTCTTGTTATATCATGAAGTTGTTAAGGGCAGGGAGAGGAAGGGAATCTTCAGTCTCCCTGATGCCACATGTATAGGGCAGTTAGTGAATGCTTCATGAATTAATGACATTTAAGAACTTGAAAATAATTTATTTTGGAACCAAAGCAAAACCCAAACCCAATGCCATTGAGTTGATTCCAATTCATAGCAACTGTATAGGATGGAGAACTGCCCTATAGAGTTTCCAAGGCTATAAATCTGTATGGGAGCAGACTGCTTCATCTTTCTCTTGTGGAGTGGTTGGTGGGTTTGAACTGGTGAACGTTTGGTTAGCAGTCAAGTGCTTTAACCACTCTGCCACCAGAGCACCTAGTGGTACATTGTTGTTGTTGTTGTTATGTGCCATCGAGTTGGACCTGACTCATAGCGACCCATCCTTGGGTTTCTGAGGTGGTATCACTATGGAAGTAGATTGCCTAACCTTACTTCCGAGGAGTGGCTGGAGAATTTGCAGAGGTATGTGTATCCACTCATATATCCAGTTGAACATACAAGTCTGATGCTGAAGACAGACAAGGGAGTTGTGAGTGTCTGGATAACTATTGAGGCCAAGGAAGAAGACAGAATCACCCAGGTGGAACTGGTAAGCCACCATGCTACCAGAGCTCCTAGTACATTAGTCAATTTCAAATCTTGCTTGTGAAACTCTAATTCATTAACAATATAAAGAATAAACTATCACAATTTAGATTTCTGGGACAAGTATAGTAAGCTTTTTCTCAAAATAGTAATGTAAACGTTTTGAAGTTTTGGGCCAGAGGGTGGGAGTTACCACTTTCTAAGATATCATCTTAGAAAGTTGGTTTGTTTTTGTTTTCATCTTTATCCCCCTGGAAGGAAAAAAAAACAAACATCATCTTTTCAGACGGAATCTTCTTCTGCCCTTGCCTTAAATGGCCTCAGTGTTCCATTGTTAAGGCCCTTTTTTGTGGCTTACCAGTTCCACCTGGGTGATTCTGTCTTCTTCCTTGGCCTCAATAACTGTCCAGACACTCACAACTCCCTTGTCTGTTTTCACCATCAGACTTGTATGTTCAGTTGGATATATGAGTGGATATACAAATCTCCATTCATACACCCCTCAAAAGCACCTCAAACTGAACCTGTTTCAAACAGAAACAGATTTCTTCACATCCATCAGCTTCTTGTATTCCTTTCTTAACAAGAGTGCGTTGTCCACTAAGATGTCCAGAATCCTGGCAATCAACCTTGACTCCTCTAGCTTCCTAAAAACTAAAACCCAGGTCACTGCCATTGAGTCGATCCTGGCTCATAGCGACCCCTCCTTCGGTTTCCAGGGTGTGGTATCTCTATGGAAGTAGATTGCCTAATCTTCCTTCCGAGGAGTGGCTGGTGGATTTGAACTACTAGCCTTCTGGTTAGCAGTCAAGTGCCTTAGGCACTACGCTACCAGAGCTGAGAATAGCTGAAAATAATATATAACAATGACCACAGGCTGGTTCAAACCCACCAGCCACTCCTCAGAAGGAAGATGGGACAATCTACTTCCATAGTGATACTCCTTGAAACCCAAGGAGGGGTTGCTATGAGTCGGATCTGACTCAATGGCACATAACAACAACAACAACAACATTCTTAACTCATTTTTAAAATTTCTTCAGTGTGCTTTCGTGTTTCCTAGTCTTTGCTATACTATTCTTTCAGGCCAGAATATTCTCTCCTACTCCTCTTTTATCTGATTAGCTGTTAAATATCATTCAGCTGTTGATTTATATAACACTTCCTCTGGGAACCTGGCCTGTCACCCCAATTTTATTTTGTCATAGTATTTTGTACTATATCTTAAAGCTTTATGCTTTATCATAATTGTTAACTCTCTTATGGGACTGTAAGTTCCAAGAGGACTAGGATTGACAGTGTCTTGTTATCAGTGTTACCCTGAACATGGAACTTGGAACATGGTACAGAGTCAATGACCTATTTAGCATTTTCACAATTTTCTCTATTTTTATTGCTTATCGTTTTTGAAACTCATTTCCTAGAAAAAGTTCACTTCCTAGTTTGTGGATGAAAATCTATAGAACCTTATTTAATAAGAGTTTTCCTTCACTTTAGGGAGAAAGAGTGAGTTAAAAGACAATAGACTTTTTGCGGGATTAGCTTTATAAAGCAGCTACTTCATCTTAGTCTCATACACCACACACACCTGACAGAAAATGATACTGAGAATTACCATTTCAAGATACTAACTATTCAGTTTTGCCCAATATGTACTTTATTTCCTCAAGTGTAAAAATGTACTTATATTGGTTAAAAGCTTGGATTCTGAAATGACTTTGGTAGGTCTGAATTCTAGCCAATCATCTTTCTGTTTCTCTGACCTTAGTCAAGACACAGAACTTTTCTGGATCTTAGTTTCCATCCTTGTAAATGAGGGTATTAATAATACTCCTTTCCATAGTGATGATAGGAAGATTCAGTGAAATAATGGATGAAAAGCAATTGGCACGTATGAAGTATTCAGTAAGTTATCTGTGATACTTCTAATTTTAAAAGATTTAAACATGTCAGCTGAAAGAGAAAAAGTATTTTAAGGTCATAAAATTATCAACTAGAAAATTCAATGAATCAAAACAATCAATTCCTTGAGTTTCTAATTAATTGGAATTTTACTGTAAATGAATTTTTCACCATAAGTTGTACTTTTTGTCATTCTGTTCCTAAGAATACTAATTTCTTACTTTGAATGCTAATAATTTAGCATGATGTCTGAAAAAGTGTCCTCTAAGAGGTATAATTTGAATGTAGCTATTATTTTTCTAGTTAAAGCTGCAAGTAAAGTTTAGGAAAAGTAATTTTCTCTTCTTTAGTAACTTTTTCTTCTTCTGCATAGTTTAAAATCAAAGAACTTTTAAGATTAACATAACTAAATAAAAGAAGTGGTATTTTGGTAGAAAATATATGTGCTCATGAAAAAACAATGTGTGTGTGTCCTCTTTAACTTTGTGGATATACAGTATCCTAAAATTCATACTTAGGAGCTCTGGTAGCATAGTGCCTAAGGCACTTGACTGTTAACCAGAAGGCTGGCAGTTCAAACCCACCAGCCACTCCTTGGAAGGAAGGTTGGGCAATCTACTTCCATAATGATAACCGCCTCGGAAACCCAAGGAGGGGTCGCTGTGTATGAGTTGGGGCTGACTCGACGGCACATAGCAACAACAACAACAACAAAATTTGTACTTATGTGTTTATTTTTCTTTGGTAGTGGGATTAAAAGTCTCTTTCCTTTACTGTAGCTTTACCAAAATCTGTGGTACTTGAAAACTGTCTTAGTTACCTGTTGTTGCTGTAACAAAAAGGTACCAAAAGTGGGTGGCTTTAAAAAGCAGAAATTTACTTTCTCACATTTCTGGAGGCTGGATGTCCAAATTAAGGGTGTTGGTAGGGCTAAGCTTTCTCTGTGGTCTCTAGGGAAAGATCCTTCTTTGTCTCTTTCAGCTTCAGTAGCTGCCAGCAATCCTTGGCATTCCTGGGTTTGTACACTCATCTGCCTCTGTCTTCACGTGATGTCTTCCCCTTGTGTGTGTTTCTGTGTATTTATTTTGCTTTTATTACAAGATAATCACTCAGGAGGAATTAAAACCCACCCTACTCCAGTGTGGGGCTAATTAACACAACAAAAGAAAATCTCTATTTCCAGGCAGGGTTATATTTACAGATATAGGAGTTAGGACTTTAACATAAGGTTTGTGGGAACACAATTCAATCCATAACACAAATGTAGAACGTGCTAGGCCTCGGTCCATTGTGTGTTCAGATTCGCTTGATTCCATACTGGCATAGGACTGTGATAGTCTTTTATTTACCTTCTGTTTAAAGCTATCAGACATGCCAAATATCCTTCTAGTCAGAGCTTACTTTTTGTTTTATTTTGAGTAGTGATCATGAAGAAAGTAAATTTAATGCTGAGTCTTTCCTTGAAATGTACTCTAACTTAACCTCAATTTGTAGTGTGAATATGATTGAGTTCAGGTAGAATTTTGAAAAATGAAAACCAACTTAATTCTATACAACAATCTCATTTAATTTTTTTTTTTTTTTTTAATTCCAGAGCTGACTTTTTTGAAGATGAGGCAGTTGAACAGGTTTTAAAGTACAAACCTTGGTGGACTGATACATATTCAAAAATGATGGCTTCTTCAGGAAAGAGCCAGGAACAAGAAAACCTTGCTGTGCTAGGTAAGAAACTGAAAATTAGGCTCATTTATTTAATTTTGAATTGTCATGGTTTACCAAGTTTACTTCCCTCCCTATTTAATAAGCGTACAGTTGTAATTACCTCATAAAGTAAAGGCATAATTTTGGTTTGCTAATTTTGGAAATGGAGCCTTCATTCCTGAATGGAAAATGCCACTCAATAATAGACTTATTTTTCCTGGATATTCTGTTGAAGACTTCTTCCTTTTGAATCATTGGAGTCTTTTTTAAAATTTTTACTTTTTTTAAAATTTAGAGAAATTAACATGCATGACGTATGTAGTTATTGAATAATCTTTTTGGGAGATCTGAACATTCCTCTGTGGTAAGGACATTTGAGTATTAGTGGGAAAAGACCCTGTTCTCATTTTTTTTTTTGTCAGGTGAATGAATTTGATTTGCTTTCCTCACAAATGGTTCTATGAAGAAGCAGGAATAGTTGTCCTCATAGCCTTACCTTAGAGAGAGCAGGTGGACTAACTTTTACCAATGAAAGCTAAACTGGAGCTTTTATGAGCCATAAGAGATGGCTGTGCTATATTTAGCATTAAACCAAATGTTAAAATATTGCTCCACATCTTACTTTGGTGAGTAGTGACTGAGATTTTAAAAGCTTGCAGCGACCATCTACATACAATGATGGGTCTCTCCTTGTCCAGAGCAAAGAAGAATGAAGAAAACCAAAGGCAAATGGAAACAATAGTGTGAGCGACTGATACACCATGAGATCCTCAGCCTATATGACTGTGAGATCAGAACTAGATGGTGCCCGGCTACCACTGTCAACCACTTGGAGGGGGATCTATGTAGGAGATCCTGGATAGAGTGGGAGAACAATGTGGAACAAAACTCAAAATCTTAAAATAAAGAGGACCAGGTTTGCTGGTCTGATAGAGCCTGGTGGAACCCCTGAGAATATGGCCCCTAGCTGCCCTTCAGGTCTGTAATTGAACCTACTCCTGTGGCTTCTAGCCAAACAGGACAGGCATATGAGCTGAACATTTACATTCAGCAGATACACTCCTTGGAGAGATCAATCATGGGAGAATAGAAGGGCTGTATATGCACAGGGAGATAGCTCAGAGGGCAGGAGTGCACAGGCGGGATGGACACAGGGAAGAGCTAACTATGGGGAGGAAGCGAGAGGGGAGCTGTTGCATTGTGGGAAATTGCAGTCAATGTTATAACACAAAGTGTATGTGAGCTGCTGTTTGCAAAGTGAATTTGCTCTATAAACTTTCACCCAAATCACAATTAAAAAAAACCATGTTATCCATAAAGAATTCTTTCTTAGATATTTTAATACCATCTTCTCTCAGTGGAAGGAGCTCTGGTGGCATAGTGGTTAATGCATTTGGCTGCTAACCAAGAGGTTGTCAGTTTGAATCCACCAGCCACTCTGTGGGAGAAAGATGAGGCAGTCTGCTTCTGTAAAGATTTACAGCCCTGGAAACTCTTTGAGGCAGTTCTACTATGATCTATAGTGTCACTATGAGTCGAAATTGACTCAATGGTAGTGGGTTTGGTTTGGGTTCTCTAAGTGGAAGGCTGATGTAATAAATGTATAAATTAAAAATAAAATAGTTTCAGATAGATCAAGAATAGAAGACTTAAATTTTCTTTCATACTGATTTGGCTTTATATACTAACAATGTTAATGTTTAAGTGAAAGGAATACACACACACTTGCACGCGTACACATAATCATACCTTCTGAAGGATATTATACAGAATATAGTATCTCCCCGTTGCACGTTCCTCTTCCTAAACATAACCACTGTTAACAAATTTGAGGTGCTTTTTAATGCCTATTGTTAGCTACCATTGATTTGGCTGCTGACTTGTGGGAACCCCATGCACAACAGTATGAAACGTTATCTGGTCCTGTGTCATCCCTGTTTGGCTATGGATCGGACAGATCGTTGTGATCCATAAGGTTTTTATTGGCTGATTTTTAGAAGTAAATATCTGCTTAAGAAATTTATACACATTTACTCAAGTATGCTTTTTTCAGTTTGTAGTTATCTTTATATCTTGCAGATCTTCTATATCAGCACTTACAGATTGCTAAAAGGGCAAGGAGACTACATCTTCTGACCTCCTCTAACAGCACAAGAGGAAGACAGAATCACTATCAGTAGCCCAAGGCCCATTCTTGTGAGGCCAGACATGCTGCCTCCCTCTAGCCCTTACACCAACTGTTCCTCCTGCAGCACCCAAAGCCTGTCTGCTGGGTTCGATAATTCACTGCAGTGGCCACACAGAACTCACAGATTATGGGATTTATTAGGGGAGCACCAGGTTACAATTCAAGTTCAGGAAAAACGCTCAGTCTCTCTCCCAGCCTGCTGTCTCTCAGCCAGCAGTCTTTCACAGTCTCTCTCCCAGCAGTGTGTGTCCCTCAGTGTCTCTCTCAGCAGTGAATGTCTCCTGTGTCTCTTTCCCAGCAGCGCTTGTCTCTCAGGAGTGCGTCCTTCCTCAGCCAGCAGTCAGAGAGAGACTTCTGTCTTTAGGAGGCCTCCTTTTGAGCCTGGCAGAGTGGCCAAACCAACCAATCATAATATCAGAATTTTAAGCGCCTGAGAGAGCAGGAACCTCCAGAACACTGCTTTGTGCCATGCTCAACAGAAATACCCCAGGTGGATAACTTTTACAATCAGAGCTCCTCAGTTGCTCACAGCAAATTCCACCATGGAGTTTACAAAGACGTAGGGCTAGAAAAGCCTACCAGGTAATTTACTACACTGCACAGATCTTCCAGAATCTTTTATGTGCTTCATGTTTTGTTGGATATCTGTATCATGGTTGCTGGATATTTGGTCTGTTAACTAATGGTGGACATTTGAATTGCTTACAGTTCTCTATTACAGATAATGCTATGGACTTTAACCACTTAATGTACAGTAACTACAAGGTCTCTGTTGAGACATACTATTTTGATTCTCTGCATAGCAATTATCACTCTTTCATATTTTTCTTGTTTATTTATTTATGTATTAAATTCACCCCACAAGAAGGAAGACATCTTGAAAGCAGAGCTTTTGTCTAGCTTGTTATCTGCTGTATTTTCATTATCTGCCTGTTACGTAATAGGTACTCAACAGATATTTATAGAATAAATAAATATTATAATACATATTTTTGTGGTTAGTTTTTAGTAGTCTAAATCATACAAAAGGAGCTCTGGTGGTATATTGGATAAAGCATTTGACTGCGAACCAGAAGGCCAGTGGTTCAAACCTACCAGCTGCTTCGTGGAAGGAAGATGGGGCAGTCTGCTTTCCTATAGATTTACAGCCTTGGAAACTCAATGAGGGTTGCTATGAGTTGGAATTGGCTTGATGGCAGTGAGTTTTAGATCATACAAAGAAAAAATTAAGTCAATTGCAATGCATGACAAAAATTGATTTGTGACGACTTTTTTTTACATTTATGGTTCCCACCAGAATGTAGATTTCATGTTTGATTTGAGTTTAAGAATCTTTCAGAGATTTCACACATTATCTAGACAAATTTTCAGGTATAGGATTGCTAACCCAATTTAGAAAGTTGATGTTTGTGCCATGTAGGTCTTCTTAAAAAGTTTTGTCAAACTTAAGTCATCCAGGATATCACCTGGTCTGAATCAGTTTCCCCAATTTTAGGGCAGTATCTTAACTGAAGGAGCTCTGGTGGTGTAGTGCCTAAGGCATCTGACTGCTAACCAGAAGCCTGGCGGTTCAAACTGACCAGCCACTCCTCAGAAGGAAGAAGGGGCAATCTACTTCCGTAGGCATACCGCCTCAGATATGCAAGGAGAGGTCGCTATGAGTTGGAGTCGACTTGACGGCATGAGCTCCAGTGATGCTGTGGTTAAAGCATTGGACTGCTGACCAAAAAGTCAGCAGTTCTAATCCATCAGCTGCTCCATGGGTGAAAGATGGGGCAGGCTGCTTTTGTAAAGGTTTATAGCTTTGGAAACCTTATGGGAGCACTTCTGCTCTGTCCTATAGGATTGCTGTGGGTTTGAATCAACTTGATGGTGGTGGGTTGGCTTTGTTTATCTCAACTGAGGTGGTGTGAGATGAAATTGGTGGTTGCGTAGTTGAGTTTTCTATCCACAAGGGTGAGCTAGTTGCCCTACAAATCAAGAGAAGGCATTACTTTAACTTAAGTTCTAACTTACTGTACTTGGAGAAATTGTAGATTATTCTTACTGCTGTTTTTTGTTGTTGTTGTTGTTGTTTGTTGGTAGTGCTTTCTGCTCATTCTATGCACACTTTTGACAAGAGATACAGCCAGTTTGTCCTTTCCATCACTGGCCCTCTGACCTTTCATCTGACTTGTGGCATATATCCAGACTGATGTTTCAAAAACAGTCATAGTCAGCTAAGCTCTTTTAGTGGTTCATTCTGAAAATCATGTTTAAAAATATCAAGGGCATGTGATCTGAGGTAGAAGAACTTGAGCTCTGTGTTGAACAGAAACTCTTTAAAATATACCAAGTATAGGGTTAAGTATAGGATATTAGCTAAATATGAGACTTGATGTTTAACTTTTTGCTCCATCAGAGTAGTGTGTGAACTCTCAGAGTTGCCATAGAAATCCTATAATACCTCCCTTATAAAGCTGTTGTGAGGCTTAAGCAAGGAAATGTATTTAAAATCCTTTGCATATTGTAAAACCAATGGTAAGATCTCCGGGTATCAAATAGCTTCTCTGTGAAATTACAGTTTTTGCACATTTACAAAGTTTCTAAGTAAAAGTTCTTAATGAGATTTTTCTTTGATTTTTTTTTTCTTGTTCAAATATTTGAGATACCCACAATTAGAAGACCTACTTGAAGTGTGTTGAGGGATAAAAATATGTGTTCCCAGTATAAAATGTGGGAGAAAAGAAAAAAACTTTAAACTTCACAATTTATCCCAGCAGCATGATGCTGCTGTATCTTCTCTTTTTCTTTGTTCTTCCTTCCTCTGGGCCCTCTTCCCCTCCATATCAGA